GTCCCGTCATCTGGTAGAACTTCATGTTGAAGGGCCTGTAGAAGTCCCGGAGCCTCTGCACCACCTCGGGGTCAATGTTCGGATGGGTCCTCCCTTTGGTTTTTCCCAGGCAGTGGGGCTTGCTGCTGCCCTCTGCCTTCTTGAGGCACGGGAAACCCTTGGTCTGGTTGAAGTAAAAGTGTTTGTCCGTGATGATCCGCTTGAGCCCCAGGAAGTCCTGCACGCGGCCCAGCTCTCCGGCCGGGTCGCTGATCAGTCGCTCGCCGCTCACAAACAGGATCTGGTCCATGGGGAAGTACTGCAGCCAGTTGTCCAGGTGCTTGGCGTAGATGCCGATCTGGATGGCGCTCCACGAGGTGTCGATGAGCCCCGTAGTCCTGTTTTTGAAGGTGAGGCTCTCGAAGGAGGGAATGTCCGGCTTCTTGGACAGTGTCTGTGTGTAGTCTGAGATAGCCCTGGTGACGGGGTCCCTCACCACCACGATCAGCTTGGTGTCCCGGGACATGGCGGAGATCCGGGCGGGARCYTCTCTGGTCACAAAGTAGCTGGGGGTTTTCTCCATGGTGATCTGGCCCTCCAGAGTCTTGGGCATCAGCTCCCTGGAGAAACAACAAAGAAGAAGGGAAAGTGAGATATTTTTTTGAACCTCTGACTGAAGCACACCAAGCCACTGACATACTTGTACAACCTCTCTTACTACAATAAACATTACAACTGGATGAACTCAGGCTAAGTCATCAAATACTCTGAATCCAATCAACCAAAAATAACACTGCTAACAGCGTGTTTGCAGCAGTTTATTTATTTGATCTCTATCAGGTGTGACCAAATGTTGATTTGCGGCTTTGGCACAGCACCACGCTCGTGTCTGGATATAAAGACATTCTCGCGGTGATAGTATGCAGATGCTACCTCAAGTGATCCTTAATGTAGCCTGAGGGTTTATGAAATCAAGAACGGGACTCCCCCGGGTGCATTTGAAAGGAGGTATTCTTCATACTCGTAGAGCGCAGCAGGAAGAATATCAATCCCTATACCCATACTATGGTAGTGCTGGCTATGAAATATTGATACTTGAGCCAAAAGGCCCTCTCAGCATAATTGATCACCTTCCTGTCTCTACTTATTTCAACAAACATCAAGAAGCTATTTCGATGCTGCAGTTTTCCAGTAGTTGTGGTTTATAATTGTGTTCTTTAAAAGTATTTGGGGTTTTTGGAACTTGCTCCGTTTCTAAGTGTTATAATCATTCGATCAATCATAAGTGTTGAAAAGAATATTTAGATCAAAATTACTTTCAACTAATCAAACCCTGAGGTCACAACACTTGAGTGTAGATTTTATTTAGCCTCCTCTCACAAACAAACTCACAAAAGAGGCGGTAAACAAGCTAATCCATTCGTCCGTGCCACCCCTCCACTCCCCTTTCTCCACTCCCCCTCTGTCCATACTTCCTCAGGACAGTGAATCTAAGCAAAGCGGGTAAAAGCAGCTCATAAATGATTAACGTGCCCTCCTCGTGCCATTTAGAGCCTCTACAGAATACAGCTTTAAAATTCACCAAAGTACAGAATGCAGGCGTCAATTATTCATCTGCCTGGCTGGTGCTGTTTAAACCGAGGACTGGCGCTGACAAAGTGGCCCTGGCTGCTCCCAGGGCAGTTTGCTGCCCGTGACAGAACTACTGAGACCCTGAAGGCGGGAGGTTGTCTGAAATTTCTGACGGGACTGGAGGGTGCTCGAGACTTAAATCTGCTGTTTATGATCGTTCGGTGTCAAGCGCTCGCACACGCAATCAACGCACGGCTTCTGCCTACCATCAAACGTCTTTCTCTGATGTGAGGGGCGTCGTTTTTCTGCCCTTGCAAAAAGGCTGGTAAACAATCATGCTCCGTTTAACATACACAGAGCGAAATGAGACAGAGGGCACCAAGATGCTTGCTGAGGCCAATCTTTACAAACAGAGTGCATGTTTGAAAAGACATCAGCTGTCAGCATCGTTGCGATAGCTGCTTTCTCCAGCATGAGCCTAAACAACTTAACATTCCTACATCAGATAAATAACTTTCTGAACAAATTCAAGTTTCCTCTGCTCAGACACGGCTATGATTAAGGTTGGCTGTGGTTTAGGCACAAAAATGATTTGGGTCTAGGGTTAGGGTTGATAGAAAACACTGAATAATCTTCTCTTGTACCGAAGTCCAGTGTTTTCTTGACCCATCAAACCGCCCGACCTCCTCACTCGGTGGATTTTGTGGCTCTTTAACCGCTTCACACTACTTTCCTCCTTTTCTCCCAATAGATACGAGGGCAGTGTCTCATGCCAAAAATATTTAGGATAGACATTATGACAATTAAACTAAAGACCATGTCAGAGTCCACTGAGGCGCCAGCACAAAGTGAGTGTTCGCCAGTTTTCCGTGGGGTTGTTGCAGGATTTGAAACAGCTTCCGGTTGAGCTCAGCACATGAGGTGAAACGGATCTAAAAGCCATAAGTCAATACCCTCAGGCCAGTGTCAAAACACATCCAGTTTATGTGGTTGAGCAGCCTGAGTGGGTTTTCTCTGTGACGAGCCGATCACAGGGTCAGCACAAGGGTGACATGCAGGAAGTGGTCGATAAGAGCAAGAGCAGCAACGCGAGTGCACCAATGTCTTGACGTCCGTTTGACATTGACCATAACCTGACCCCCCCCCCTAAAGTCCTCTCTGTATCTGCAACCTTTCCAACAGCTATGGACGAGACTTGTCTCCTCTCACATCAGCTCTGCCTCATCGCCCACAAGAGTCCAGGGTGAAGCTTTAAGACAAACCCAATGTCATGGGAAGACAACAGCTACTAGGCTCAGTCAATAATAGAACACGGAGACTAATTATTGATAAATGGGGATCTCTGACGCTGGCATTCAGGTTGTCTTCCTGTATGACTTCCTGCGTATAGTGGCAACATGCTGATTTGGAAACAACCAGGCGTCTGAAACGGCCCCTACAGCACAACAACTTTATGATGCAAAGGAGAACATTATTGTGTTATGAAAAAGAAATGAGCCAGTACCAAAGGAAGCATCCATATTTGATGGCATGTGTGGAGCTTGTTCTTTGGTCGATGCACTCACAGTGGTGAGGGCACTCGGCGGGGTGGGATGGCGGTGGGTTTCAGGGTCAGTGTATGTCATACGGTGTGCAACATGAAGACAGGCATGTTTGGAAGTTCAAGTGTGGACTTCATGAAGCACTCACATATTCAGGCTGATGTAAATTTTATAGTTACTGGTAGAATGGTTTCAGGTGCATCTGTGCAGTCATATGAAAAACATACTGGCTGCATTTTTTATTCTTGTTTAAACTAAATTTCCTTTTTAAAATTGCACTTCTATAACACTTTTGGAATCTTTTACTAATAGCAGCTAATGTAACTTCAGATTCCTCGCTTCAAGCAGAGATGAGCTCTTTTAAGATAATTTCTGTCTAACGCAAGGGGCCACACTGGGTGCGTGTGCAGCGCCACTCAAGCGGGCAGTACAGCTGCTCTAATCCGATAACACGGGCGCTGAAATGAAAAGCAAGACATTTTACGACACGTGTGCGGCCCGGGTGTAACGCTGCACCCACATTTCTTTTTAAAATATTAAAAAAATCTGTTGTCTTCAAACATTGCACAGGTCTTTTCCCCAAAACCTATAAACAGACTTAAATGTGTAAAAAGCATTGCACTGAAAAAAATTCAATTTAAAGTTCCCTCATCCCCAAGGTGGTTTTTGACTGGACCAGACTTTTGAAAATGACACCCTGGGCTCTCGGGATGCTATTTGAAATATATGATTAATCAAAAAATGGTAAATTGATGAATGAACATAAATGTTAGTTGCAGTCTGAGCACTGATTCGTTTTCTTTGAGACACATATAAGTGACCAATGCACACCAGTGTTATATACGTTCTCAGCGCTTAAGTTTCAGTTAGGAACAAGAGACGCTTGGTTTTACAGCCAGTGAAGTACACTAAGGTATTTCTTTCCATACTACAGCAAAAGCATACGGTGCTTTCTAATGAAACTTTATTGGCAGGGTGGGTGATGTAACAGATGACAAACCGTCCAAGTGCTTGAGATTTACTGCGGTTCCAGATTCTGCTTTGATGTCTTCATCGTGCTGCTAAAATACGACTCCCTGAGCACACTCATGCATGAAGCCCAGGCAGCGGGATCCACTCATGAAACAAGACACAGACCCACAAACCAAATAAGAAACATAGCACATGAACCCTGGCCTGACCCTTAAATCAAATTCCCTGCTCTGGCATGCATTTAAACACTGGACAGAAACACACACACACATAAAAAAAACAACATTTAGGATGACTAAGAACATCACAAACAGCTTGTGTACATGACAAAACATAACACATGTTGTAATTGTACGTCATTCCGCTCATATGGAACCAACTAGCTGGAAAGAGATGCCAGGACTTGTTCAGGCAACTCCATTCCCTAATAAAAAGCCAACTCCAATGTACACAGTAAAGTGCAGTACATCACTCAATGCCTCCTTTGTAGACTTGTCTATAAAGTAACCACGTCGGAATAAAAGGCCCGATGCACGGCTGCTTTCGTTTCCCCGCTGAACGAATTTTACTCGCAAACCAATTCTGCTCTGCCCTCACATACAGGCTGTGACTCATGTCTGCCTGTTATATAAATGCCAAAAAAAAGTATGAACGCACCATAAGGTCTTATTTACTGTAGATCGGGTGCACACATAAGATGACAGCATGACATATGAATTAGGGAGGAGTAGAAAGCTAACAAGCGATCAGTTCCGAACAGGGGCCGTTTCCTCGCGTTATCCTGGACTTTTCAGAAGTAGCCTTGGATCTGGGCCAATGTCTGTCAATTGACGGGAGTTGTAAAGACGTAGAGGCAAGTGGGCATGAGTTCTGTCCACTTCTCCCCCGCAAGGCTTTGATTAATTCTTCCTCCTCCAGCAGGGAGGCCTGGCAGGCATAAATACACACCCACGGTGTTCCCTTGTCCTTACCGCCAGATAATAATCTTGTAATTGGCTCAATATTTCTGCTGTTTTCAGGCGGAGCGAAGGGCCAGCGAGGGCTTGGACTTACCAGATATTTTCCAGGTCAGTGAATGCTAGCGGAGGTCACAGAGGCAGCAGGAGGAGGGGTGTTTGGGGGGTGATTTAGTGTAGTGGCTGCTGTGCGGTGAGGGGTAAGGCCATTCCTCTGAACTCGGAGCTTTACTGCTCCGTCAACGTTGTGTAACAACGCAGCTCTTTACCTGCCCTGCGGGCTGTAATCGCCGGCACCACATGACTCTGGGATCCCCACGGAAACACTAACGAATGACAAACTGACGTGTTCGCCATAAACTCTAATTCACCTCCCTTAGTAACAATCACATGTTTAAGGGGCTGGGCAGAGGGCAGAGCAATGTGTTGGTTGGATGGTGAGAGGTCCAACTATTTATAATTCAGGGATTACAGATGTGAGCTTCCCAGCAGCAGACAGGCCAGATCAGGATAATCGTCCATTTTATGACCCTGACGGTTTCAGTCCTCCAGGATCAGTCCACCTGACCCTGTTCTCCC